AGAGCAATTGCTGACCAATTCTTCACTTTATTCCACACGATTTTGCTTTTTACCATGTGGTGCACGATATTCTCTGGAGTCATACGTTCGTTGATAATAATTTSTAAGCCTTTGCTTTCTGCTATTGTGACCGTATTTATAGGGGAACTATCGGAAGCATCCATGTCCGGTCAGGAATTGCGTCAGGTAGTAATCAGAATCGCCGCAGATTGTGGGGTCTCTCTTTTTGTGGATTGGGCAGAGCGTTCCTATCGTTGGGCATTCTTTCTTCAGACCAWASTTTACAAAGAATCTGATGCATGCTCCTTATCAGTTCTTCGCCGCCGTGTTTGAAAAGCTCAGCCGGCAATCCATCGGCCACCACTGCTTTGTTGTTCATTTCAAAATTGTTAACCACTGTGTCTTATGTATACTTGTATGCATTCATTATTCCATCGGTGTAGTGTTAATAGTGGCAGGCCGTCTCCACATAAAGCCATCGGTGTATAGTTTCAACACTTAAATCCACTTCGTGAAAAATTTGAACCTCTTAAACTTATCCACCGCAGTAAGTTATACAGTTGCTATAGTTGACTTTCGATGAGGACTGATCCCTTTTTACGACACAAAAGATCACAATTATATTTTTTTTAGTAAATGATGAGTCAAAGTTGAATTGCTACAACCACTTCTTGCTATTTACCGATAATATCGCTTTTCATAAAATATAATTAATTTCTCAGTGCCTACTGGTCTAGTAGAATTTTTTTTAAATTTAATATCACATACATATGTATGTATAATATCGCATATAGTATAATCTCTTTTCAAGCTTAGTCTGTGAGAGCCTGAAGCCCACCGTCAACAAAGTGAATTAAGGTACATTCATGTTTCTTTAGACCTGGAAAATCTATTATCGACCAGATTTTCACCATACGCCAAATTTTGAAAATTATCCGTGAAAAGAAGACACACACCACCACTTCGTAAAGTCCAAGCTGCTTGCCGTGCCGTGCTGTCAAGGCTGAGCTGAGCTGAGCAAGGAGCTGACTTTATGTTCGACAAAGAGGTTCTACGGAAGATTTATGTTTATTTGCGCATTGGCAGGGGCGAATACTGCGGTGGATGGAACGGTGAGCTGTACAAGATATTCACGACATTGACAGAGTGCAGCGAATCAATAGTGTACAGAAAAAACAGTCTTTGCTTAAGTCTGTACTCTGAG